TAAAGTTTTTTTTTTTTTTTTTTTGGCCATAGGGTGTGTGTGATCACTGGAGAGAGAAAGAGAGAGGCAGTGAGAGGGAAAGTGAGCAATCACCCCCAGAAGGGGCAGCCATCTCACAATCCTTTCTCCTCCATTCTCCCTCTGTGGTTTTGGGTACACATACACATGTGCCTGGCATGATTGGCAAGCTGCTGGTCAGGGGCTCAAACTGCAGTTGGCCATGTGGTAGTCCAGCACCTTAACCACAATGCCACCTGCTGGCCCCTAACTTCTTTAAATTCAAGTGAAAAAATTGTATGCTGTAAAGATGTACAGTGATTAAACGTTAATTTAAAAATGTGAAAGAAAAAAATCTAATGTATTGCAATTACAAATCAGACTGGTATTGCAATTCACCTTCAAAAAATCAGTAGTACTAGTAGATTTGAAATAGAAGAAGATTTTCAGTCAGTTTTTTATTTGTACAGTAAAGCAAACCTTATCAGATAAACGTGTGTGCATATAGCCCCATAGAAATCAGGTAAGACTGAGAATAACGAAAATGTTGGTATTAGCTATGTAAACTTGTGTTGGACATGGATATAAATTCAGGTTGGTTTTTCCTTCCAATTTTAACTTCTCTGAACTTTCCTCTTTCATTTAAGAAAATCTATAATCGTAGTAAAAAAGACTAAGAATCCTGATGTCATCTTTTGTTTAAAAGAATCTACTGGGTCTGGGGCCAGCAGGTGGTATGGTGGTTAAGGGTGCTAGACTCCCATATGACTGACCATGGTTAGAGTCTCAGACCTGGTGGCTTGCTTTCTCACTTTCCCTCTCTCTCTCTCACTCTCACTCTCTCTCTTGCTCTATCTCTCTCTGATCAAATAAAAGTAAAATAAATAAAGTTAAATAAAATCAATTCTTTTTTGAAAAAAATAGCTACTGGGGATAGCAGATGGGGTGGCGGTAAGGTGCTGGACTCCCACATGACTGACCATGGTTTGGGACTCAGACCTGGCAGCTTGTCTTCTTACTTCTTCCCTCTATCCCCTACCTATCTCTGATCAAATGAAAAAAAAAAATACAACAATAAATAATTCTGTTTTTGGAGAGGTTTTTGCTATAGGGCACATGTGCTCTTCAGAAAGAGAGATTGAGACAGAGAGACAGAAAGCGAGAAATCACCCCCCAGGGGGAATGGCCATGCCGCAATCCCTTCTCTTCCATTCTCCTCTCGGGATCTCGGGCATGCATACACATGTGCCTAGTGTGAGCTTAAGCCATTAGGTCCAGTACTTGAACCGTGGTTGAGTACCTGAGAGTCCAGCGACATAGCCATTATGCTAACTGCTGGTCCCCAATAAATAATTCTTAAAAAATTGTTCCATATTGTTACTAAGACTTAACTCACTCTCTCTTTTTTAAGTTAGTCTATTTATTTATTTATTTATTTATTTATTTATTTATTTATTTCTTGAGACA